ATTCTGGTTGTACTTCTTTCAACATAATGTTGCTTATTCTTCTAGCAGTCCATGGTACTTTAATTATTCTTCTCCAAGACCATACTCAAATGCATCAATTCTTCTGTAGTCTTCCTTATTCATTGTCTAATTTTCACATGCATATAAAGCTATTGAAAATACCATGGCTTGGGTCAGGCCACCTTAGTCCTCAAACTGACATCTTTACTCTTGAATACTTTTAAAGAGGTCTTGTGCAGCAGATTTGCTTGGTTCAATACATTATTTGATTTCTTGGCTGCTGTTTCCATGAATGTAGATAGTGAATCCAAGCAAAATGAAGTCTTTGACAACTTCAATATTTTCTTCCTTTATCATGCATGATGTTATTTATTCATCCAGTGATGAGAAATTTTGTTTTCTTTACGTTGAGGTGCAATCCATGCTGAAGGCTGTATGTAGATTTTGATCTGTAGCACATAGGGTTGCCATGCATTAGAACTGACTTAACAGCATCTGGTTTGATTTTTGATTTCATAATGTATTAATCCTGGTGTGGCACTGTAGGATAAGCACTGGACTGTGAAAAACAAGGTCAGTGGTTCAAACCCACTGACTGCTCCTCATAAAACCTGTACAGGGTCACTAGAGTGGGAATCAACTCAACAGCACCTAACAACAACAATATATTAGTCAAGAGAGACTCTATCATGTTGTATAGTGATTATGCAACAAACCCAGCAACAAACCACCCAACTTCTTAGAAGTTTAAATAAAAACAAAAAAGTTGCCATTGAGTCTATTCTGACTCATTGTAACTCATGCATGTTAGAATACAACTGTGATCCATAAGCATTCCACTGGCTGAAGTAGATTGCCATCGGAAGTAGATTGTTGTTGTTAAGTGCCATCAAGTTAGTTCCAACCCGTAACTACCTTGGATAGAGTTTCTGAGGAGTGGCTGGAGAACTTGAACTGCTGACCTTGTGGTTCAAACGGCTTTGCAGTCTGGCGCATTAACCCACAGTGCCACACCAGGACTCCAGATTACCAGACCTTTATTCTAAGATACCTCTGAATAGATTTGAACTGCCAATTTCTTGATTAGCAACTTTGCACATTAGCAACTCCTAGAGATTTAAATTCAGAGGTTTATTCCTTGTTTAGACTGTATTTTTTCATGAGTTCTCAAGGAGGCTCTTCTTCTCACTTAGACAAAGAACCACGAAGGCAAAATAAGTATCATCTGAAACATTTTTGGTTGCTATGCCAAAATGTAAATATCTCTTAAGTGATCTCAAAATGACAATTTAATACTTAAGTCTAGAAATGGCTCGTGCCACTTTCACTTGCAATTGATTGGCATACAAATCTGCAACCACAAGAAAGCCAGGAAACACATTTTTGCCATTTGCTTAAATGACCTCAAGTATTGATATAGACAGATCAATAAAACAGAATAGAAATCTCAGAAATAGACCCAAATATATGCAGACATTTGATATAGGATATAAGTGGTGTGGTGTAGAAAATGATTTAGTATGTATTTTCTTATCTTACGCTTTGTAAATCCCAGCCATAACTTTTTCTTACGGGCCTGGGTCAGAGACTGGGAGAAGATGCTGATAGGATTATGTGATTTAGTTGTGAGTGGTTAACAGAGGTAAGTGTGTTTATAAAAACACAGAATACTACTGTGTATAAAATGAGCCATCTCAGAAGCAGGAAGGAGTAATCTCACTACCATCAAAGAAGAAGAAACAGGAGTAGAGTATGTCCTTGAACCCTGAGATTCATGTGCATTGAACCACCTCAACCTAGGGACAGAAAGCTGAGACCCTGGAGAAGTGGTATATAAGCAGCAACAGCAAAACCAAGAATAAGGACACAAGACAGAGTGGTGATCTTCCCAGCCCATGAAGCAAATAAAGCTGAATGAATACAGGCAGGTGGCATGCTCACATAACATGATATTTCCAGGTACTTAATAGCAGGAACTAGGTTTGCTGACCTACAGAGCTAGAGCCAATAGCCTTCTTGGCTGAGGCCTTTAGTGAAGTGTTGTGTCCTGTGGGCATTTACCAGCAGAGCTAAAAGAGCTTTGTAACATTGATGAGGCAAAGAGAAACCTTCCTATGGGAATGGCTTAGAAAAGCCTGTTTTGACTGGAACAACTGTGCCTTATGCATTTCTGACCCTGAATTGTTACTTCACTAATAAACCATATATTTTTAAAATAAATTGTCTGAGTTCTGTGTGGCCATTGCAATGAATTATCAAACCCAGATGAAAAGTAGTAGAGTATGCAGGCAAAGGAATGGTTGGTGTTATTAATTTTGCAAGTGGCATTTCAAATAAATGAGAAAAATAAATGAAGTATTCAAATTATGGCATTTGAATATTTTAAATCAATAATTTAAATCATTAAATATAATTAGTAATATCATCTAATCCTTGTTATTGTTGTTAGGTGCCATTGAGTTAGTTCCAACTCATAGCAACCATTGCACAACAGAATGAAACACTGCACAGTCCTGTGCATCCTCAAAATTGTTCTTTGAACCCATTGTTGTTGACATTGTCAATAAATCTTGTTGAGGGTCTTCTTCTTTTTCCCATCCATGGCTGATTACAACATTGAGCATGCATGTGAAATGATTCTGACAAATAGATACACGACAGTGAATTATGTGGCAAATCATTTGCAAATCAGCCATGGTCCTGTCTTTGAAATCATCCACAATAGACATGGGTTTCAAAAAGTTTGTGTGAAACAACTCACAGAAGAACACAAACAGAAGTCTGCAAACAAAATTCGGACCGATACTAGAAGGAAGGTTAAAGTTTCTTAGAAAAAAATCATTACTGGTGATGAGACATGGATTCATCACTACAAGCCTGAGAGTGAATAGTAGAGTATGGAATGGAAACATCCTCAGTTGCCGACCAAGAAAAAGTCAAAAAGTCAACTATTAGCTGCTTACATTTTTCTGGGATTTTAAGTGCCAGTATCAGAATACTACCAGGGAAAGGATTCAGCAATCAACAGTGCTCCTTACGGTGACATACTCACTGAAGAGCTGAAGACTAAACTTCAGATTCAGCACAAAGGAGTACTATCCAAGGGCATTGTAATTTGCTTGACAATGCATGTCAGTAAACCTCTGTCCACACTGTTGACATGGCAAAAACTTCATTTTGAGGTGTGAAAGCATCCTCCCATAGTCCTGATCTTGCTCCTTTGGACTTTCACCTGTTTGGTCTCCTGAAAGCAGTCCTTTGAGAACAAAGACTCATCTTTTTTTTTTTTTTTTTTTTAATGTTTTATTATGAATTGGGTGAAAATTTGTAAAGCAGATTAGTTTTCCATTCAATAATTCAAACTCATTTTGTTTCATATCATTGATTACAATCTCCACAATGTTATCCCACCACCTCCCTGGGTTTCCTGTTCCCATTCTTCCTTCGCTCCTAACACTTCTGAACTTTCAAATTGTTGATTCCTTTTTTTCTATTCTTTTTAAAAACTTTTTATTGTGAACTGGGTAAAGATTTACAAAGCAGATCATCAGTTTTACGTTCAACAATTCATACACATTTCATTTAATCTTATTGATTGAAATCCCCTCCACGTAAAATTATTTATTTCACTTCCTCTGTGTTTCCTATTTCCATTCCCCCCTCTTTCTTAACACTTGTGAACTTTTTCCTTGAGAAAATGCTCCTTATTGATCTTAAATGGTTGATTCTTCTAAGGTGTGCAGATCTCACTAGTATTATTGTTCCCCTTATAGACCTGGTTATGGTTTGTCTGAAGTGGAGCCATGCGGAAGAGTTCAGTTACAGAACTGAAGGGAGATGAAGGCCCATAGTCTCAGGGGCTGCACAAGTCTCTAGCTGACCAGAGCCTAGTCTTTTTATGGTTTTGAGTTTTGTTTCACATTTTCCTACTACTCTATACAGCAACTTTTAGTGTGAACCCTTTCAGAGTAGTTTGTTGTGGTAGCAAGGAATCATCTCGTTCTTTTAGTCTCAGTGACATGGAGACTAATGTTTGTATGGTCCATTGGACTATTTGTTTCCATGCATCTTCAGTTTTCTTGACTCTTTTATCCTCCACACAGGGAGACTAATAGTTGCAAAAAACCTATATTCCATTTTTTAAAACACTGTACCAGTATTCTATGCTTCTAATAACAAATGGAATAATACAGTAAAAACATGTATAAAAGGCAACACTAATTATTTCCCACTTAGGCCTCAATATCATCATTCAATGTCACTACCCTCAGGCAATCAATTTTAATATTTTGCTAATATACATGCAAATATATTCAGCTATACCAGGGATTTATTTTTGTTTTATTGCCAAAACTCAATCATACTCCATACAATGCTACATTTTCACAGATTCAATATTGTCTGTGTCTCATTGTTTCATAACTACCCTCAATCCTTCCATGCTTCTTGACTTAAGCTTTTTTTGTGGAATCATCATATGTAATATCATATGACATAGATCATTATTAGTAAATAAATGTCTACTAACATTACTGCAAGTTAGTAGATTCCCATATATTGTGATATTTTTCTTATTTCTTTATCCCCTCTGGCCACCCCACCCCCACCCCCCACATACACACATTATCATATATGGAAGAGTTCTTTCTATATAGGCTCAGTTCATTTTTTATTGGTCTTCCAATTTGTATTATTTATTTATTTATTAGCATAATTTCCTATCATCTTACACTATTCTCCTTCTCTTCTGTCCTATCCCCCTTTGCCTCCAATTTGATGCATACTTTCATTATATTTCTCTCCAGACTCACAATTACACATAGATTTAAAAATCATTGTTGGTTTTGCACAAATGAAATGTACTATATACACTACTCTTGTTTCTTAGTTTGCTCAGGCAATAATTGTTATTTGTTGTTGTCCAGTGGCTGTAACTCATGGAGACCTTATATGAGGGCTTCAGAAAATTCTTGGAAATTTTCTATTATTATTTTTTTTTTATCTTTCAAAATTTTATTTAAATGCAACCATTCAGAATGAATTTTAAATCTTATTGAAAGCAGTCACATCCATGGACTGCACATAGTCTTCAAAAGCAGTGATCTGTTCCTCCAGCATATCTGTGCCAACTTTATCATCTTCAACCACACACTGTATTTGAAGTTTTTTTAATTCCATATCCCACTGGAACGAGCTTAGAAAAGCCCCAGACCAAGCCGTCTGCTTGAATGCTTCTAACGCACTCTTCCAATTTGGCCATGTCTGTCTCAGCATCCCAAGGTTTCACATCAAGTAAGATGGAAGACTTGGCAACAAGCGCAGGCTTTTTGGCTTTCTTTGACTCGTATTGTGCAAGGTGATCTTCTCTTAGTCTCTTTGCTTCTTCACTTTTCTCATCATCATCAGATCCAAAGAGATCTATATCATCATCATCCTTACTGTCTGCAGCTCCACTTCCTGTCATGTCTTCCACATTAGAGGGCCCATACTTGCCCAAAGCTTTCTTCACTCCTGGCAAGCTGGCCTTTTCCTTTTTTTTAAGGTTTTTATTGTGGATTGAGTGAAAGTTTTCAGGGCACATCATCGGTTTCACATTCAAATATTCATATACCTTGTTTCATTACACTGATTATAATCCCCTCCACATTACAACAGTTAACAGAGTTTCTCTCTATCCTTTTTAGCCTTTTTTTTTGGGGGGGGGGCTGGGGGGACTTTGCCTTTTTGGAATTTACATTCTCGGCTTTTAGGGAAGGGTTTTACATTTATCTGTGGGTATCCAGGGCTCATGTATGGAATTACTAACCAGCATAACTGAATAATCAGATAAGGGACATTTTGCTATGTGTACTAGGTGGCTAAAGTCTGATCCTCAGAGCCTATGGTTTGGATGGTCAGCAATGCTTGGGCCCACAGGGTCTTGAACTCCTGACCGGGTCTGCACAGTCTGCATCAGATTCCCCCTTATTTATTATTTGTTTAAGGGACGTTGCCTGTCTTAGGTGGTCAGTGCGAATTCCTCAGTCTTAACCCGTTATCGAAACTCATTGCAGCATGGCAATGGCTCTGCAAAGACTCATCTTTGATGAAGAAATAAAAACAGTAGTACATTTGTAGCTTGAAGCTCAGCCTAAAACCTTTTTTAATAAGGGAATATGAAAGCTTATTGACAGATGAACAAAGTATATTGAAAAGCAAGGATATTATATGGACAAAGTATATTGAAAAGCAAGGAGATTATGTGGGAAAATTATGTATTTGTCTTTACTAAAAGTTTATTAAAATAAATTCTACAGCCAGAGTGCAGCTGGTTTCTGGCTCACCCTCATATAACTACGTCCAGAGTATAGCTTCTTGAGCCACACTGCTAGGGATCCAGTCCTGGTTTGCCAATGACAATGGGAGTGACACTGTGAACAACTTAGTGCTTCATAGGATTGTTGCTGAAAATTAAGTAGGTCTTAATTAATGGAGTCCTGTTGTGGCACTGTGAGTTAATGTGCTGAACTGTAAGATCGGTTTGAACCCACAAGGGTCAGCAGTTCAAACTCACAAGCCACTCCTTGGAAACTCTATGCAGGGTCACCATGGGTCAGAACTGACTCGACAGCACTTAACAAAAACAACAATAATTTATGCTTAGGAGTCCTGATGTGGCACTGTGGGTTAATGTGCTGAACTGTAAGGTCAGTTTGAACCACAAGGTTGGCAGTTCAAACTCACCCAATCACTCCTCAGAAACCCTATACAGGGCTGTTATGAGCTGGAACTGACTCAATGGCACTTAACAACAACAAATTTATGTTTAGTTCTTAGAACTGTGCCTCGCTGGCATATCATCAAAACTATTGTTTTTACAGTTAACTATTATGTGATTAATTTTAATATATAATTTTATTATTATTTAATTATCTACAGTTAGTCAGTGGAGTTAACTAGTAGTTAAGGCCAAATACCCAGTAGATAGATAAGTAAGGATTTGCAAAGACAAAGTTCCATTAAAGAAAATAGTAATTTTCAACTTCACTCATAATAACAGAGAATCCTGGTGTGGCACTGTGGGTTAATGTGCCAGATTGCAAAGTCATTTGAACTGCAAGGTTGGTGGTTCAAGCTCAACAGCTGCTCCTTGGAAACCCTATAAAGGGTCGCTATGGGTTGGAACCGACTCAACGGCACTTCACAACAACAACATAATAACAAATTGAAAGTTCAATTAAAATAACAATTTTGATCTATTATACTGACAAAGATTTAAAAAGTTGAATAGCACACTCTGTTGGTAAGTAGGTTCAAAAGCAGGCAGTGTGATTTGGCAACAAAGATCAAAATACATATGTACATACTTTGGGATCAAGTAATTCCAAGTATAGGAATTTATACCTCAGGTAACTTCTCTTATGTGAATAAATAGATACAACTAGCATTATTAACTCCAATATTACAACTGTTGTTCACCAGTAGCAGACTGAATAAATAATAGTACATCCATAAAATGGGATGGATACTTGTTGCTGTTGTTAAGTGCTGTCAAGTAGGTTCCAACTCACAGTGACCCTGTAAAGGTTTTCTGAGGAGCGGTTGGTGAATTTGAACCACCAACCTTGTGATCCAAACTGACCTTGTGATCCAGTGCTTATCCTACAGTGCCACACCAAGATTCTGGGATGGATACTATATTACTTTAAAATAAGTGAGAACTTTATGTATTCATCTGAAAAAGTTCAGATATTTTGTGCAAGTTTTAAAGAGAAAGGAGAAGAAGAGAGTGGATAGTATAGTATGTTTTCATTACTACAAAGGAGGAGGGAATAATATATATTTGCATATACGTAATGAAATCATCTGGAAAAATACAAGAAACTGATAGCTGGTATAGAGAGAAAAAATATTTTTTGGTATTAAATGAGAGAAATTTTTTACTATCTATGAGATAGCAGATGAAATACAGAAGGATTAATAACCTTACAGAATCGGTTTGGAGCAGCAGTCAGTGAAAATAAGGTAGCATAACATTATGATTGTATCCTTGTTTATTGTTGCTGTTGTCCTTAGTAATCATCAAATGAACTTCAATGCATGGTGACCTTTGGAATGATAAAACAAAACATTGTCCCGTCTGCACCATTTCATGATTCCATGTTTGAGTTCACTGTTCAATTACTGTGCCATTCCATCTCACAGGGGTTTCCTCATTTTTGTATGAAACATGACATCACATGATTTCCTGATGACATGTTCAAAGCAAGTGAATTGAAGTCTTGCCATTCTCACTTCTAAGGAATATTCTGGTTGGATTTTTTCTAAAACTAATTTCTTCTGGCAATCCAAACTATACTCAATAGTTTTCATTAATTCTTCTGTTTTTCTTTTTCCCTTTCATGTGCATAGGAGGTGAGTAAAAAGACCATGATTAATTAGATGCACCCTAGTCATCAGAGTGACAATTTTTTTTATTTGCAGCAGATTTGTGTGATACAATAGATTGCTTGATGTCTTGAAAGCTATTTCCTAAGACATTAATTGTTGATACAAGAAAAATGAAGTCATCGACAACTTTAATTTCTTCTCTTTTGTGTTTTATTCATTCAAGATATTAATTATACCAAGGGCTTCAAAAAGTTCATGGAAAATGGAATTAAAAGATAATGGAATTTTTCCAAGAACTTTTTTGAAGTCCTCTCATATCTTGGACTTATGCTTTTTTTAAGCTAAAAAAGGTTGAACAACAGCTTGTCAATATAGTGCAATGTAATATGTATCCCTAAACATTGTAGGAGGTTGAGTCAAAAATTATCCACACTCTGACTGTCAAATTTATTTTAATCAATTTCTAGAAAAGACAAATACACCATTTTTTTAAAACATATTCTACTTGCTTTTCAATATACTTCGTCCATCTGTCAACATGGTTTTGTATTTATTCCCTTATACAAACATGTTTTAGGCAAAGCGGCAAGCCATGAATGCACCACTGTCTTCGCTTCATCAAAGATGAATCTTTGTCCTTGAAGGGCTGCCTTCAGGGGACCAAACAGGTGAAAGTCCAATGGAGCAAGATCAGGACTACAGGGAGGATGCTTTCACATCACAAAATGAAGATAACAACACCATTGGATAGCAGTCCTCTGCACTGAATCTAAAATTTAGGCTTAAGCATTTTCTTCGGATATCTGCCCAAATTTTTTTTGTAGATGTCCAAACACTTCTGTTTATACTTTTCCATGAGTTGTTTGTGTACACATCTTGCACAAACTTTTTGAAACCCATGTATGTCATAGATTATTTCATAGGCAAGACCATGGCTGATTTGCAAATGATTTGCCACATAATCAGCTGTCACCTGTCAATCCATTGTCACCTGTCCATTCAATACAATTAATTCATATGCACACTCAGTGTTGTTGTCAACCATGGACATGGGTGTGTGTTTTAATATAACCAAAGTGCAGATAATTTTTTACTCATTCTCATATACTATTGCTTTACATGTGTTTTAACAATACAGACATCTTATGATAAATGAAACACCAGTTTACTTTTTTTAGCTCAACACTATTTTTTATATTTAGTCATATATTTCTAGATAATTTGCTTTTAACTACATTACTCTCTATTGATTTACTGTCATGTAACATCATAATGTAAATGTCCTCTTTTATTTATTCATTGTTTTTAATGTTATTAATACACACAGTATGTGATATACATTCCTGCTCCTTCTTTAAATCTATGAGGGGGATTCAAAAAGTTCATGTAAAAATGGAATTGAAACATAATGTAATTTTCCACAAACATTTTAAAGAACCTTCATATTCAAAAGAAGTTAGTCCTAAAATCATTGCACTACCTGTGTGAACACCACTCGTCTGTCAATTTGTTGTATTGTGATGACTTGACTATTGCTGTGATTCTGGAAACTATGCCAGCAGGGTCACCCATGGTGGACAGGTTTTAGCTGAGCTTCCAGAGGAAGAAAAAATAAGACTAAGGAGCGATAAACTACTGTCAAATATTTAATCACTGAATTTTTATGAATAGCAGAGGAGCACTGTCAGCACCAGATTATTGAATATTGAAGCATGATGAAGAGCACCAGAATATTGTCAGATTTAGTGCCAGAGAGGAGCCCCTCAGGTTAGAAGGCACTCAGAGCACTACTGGGGAAAAGCTGCCTGCCCCTCAAAGTAGAGTTGACTGTGATGATGCAAATGGAGTAAAGCCCTCGGAACCTGCAGTTGCTGAATTAGGTACAATTCAAAATGAAGAGAAACAGATGTAAAAATCCATTAATAATGGGAACATGAAATGTACAACATATGATTCTAGGAAAATTAGAAAATGTCAAAAATGAAATGGAACATATAAACATCCATATCCTAGGCATCACTGAGCAGAAATGGACTGGTATTGGTCATTTTGATAATGACATGGTTGGGAATGACAAATTAAAGAGAATGGCATCACATTTATCATCTAAAAGACCATATTAAGATCAGGTATGAGGTACAATGCTGTCTGTGATAGTATAATATCCATACACCTATAGGGAAGACCAGTTAATACCACTATTATTTAAATTTATGCTCCAACCACTAAAGCCAGTACTGATGAAACTGAAGAATTTGGAATGCAAACATTGAAAACAAAGAGGAAGGATCAGTAGTTGGAAAATATGGCCTTGGTGATAGAAATGATGCTGAAGATCAAATTATAGAATTTTACAAGAGAAATGACTTGTTCATTGCAAATACTTTTAAACAACATAAAAGATGCCGATATACAGAGACCTCACCAGATGTAACACGCAGAAATCAAATTGACTGTATTTATGGAAACAGATGGTGGAAACCTCTATACCATCAGCCAAAACAAGGCCAAGGGGAGACTGTGGAACAGACTGTCAATTGCTCATATGCAAATTCAGGCTGAAGCTGAAGAAAATGTAAACAAGTACATGAGAACCAAAAGATGGCCTTGAATACATCCCACCTGAATTTAGAGATCATCTCAAGTACAGATTTGATTAGACACTAAGGAATGAAATCCAGAAGAGTTGTGGGATGACATCAAGTACTTTATTCAGGTATAAAGCAAAAGGTCATTGAGAAGACAAGAGATAAGAAAAAGACCAAAATGGATGTCAGACCAACTCTGAAACTTGCACTTCAGTGTAGAGATGCTAAAGCAAATGGAAGAAGTGAGGAGATACAAGAACTGAACAGAAATTTTCAAAGGTCAGCTAGAGAAGACAAAGTCAAATATTACAAAAAAATGTGCAAAGAACTGGAGTTAGAAAACCAGAAGGAAAGAATATGCTCAGCATTTCTCAAGCTGAGAGAACTGAAGAAAAAATTCACACCTTGATATGCAGTATTGAAGGATTCTATGGGCAAAATACTGAATGATGAAGAAAGCATGAAAAGCAGATGGAAGGAGACCCACATTTGCAGATAATACTCACTTGACCTGGCTTCAATGCCTGGATGATCAGAGCTCAACCAGAAGAAGAAAGAAGAGGAAAAAAAAAGAGTAATCTGAAACAATTTGATGAACTTGACCTATACCTACGGATGCAGTAACTCAAAAGAGGGAACAAATCCTTACAGCAAGGATCATTCCCACTCCCTCCATACACAGAGAAGACAGGGATGGGCAACTTGGATGTTGGCTACCCAAAATGGGGGGTGTGGGGGCTACAAAGGCAAGAAAAGACTGGCTTACAAGCTTTCAAGAGGGAACCTAGATCCAGAGGGCGTGAAGGAAAGTAGGATCTCCACTGAGTAGTATCCAATCTGTCTAGGCGGGCCTGATGAAATGAAATGTGGATGGATCTCTTGTGATACAATAGTGAATAATTGTTACCAGGACAGCTTGTGAAGGTTGGAAATGTAAAGGTAGACGTTTGTAGCAAGGAGGGGAGTGATTAACCTTTCAGCCTAGGAGCGGAGGTCTCTAGGACCATCAATGGAGAAGAGTGGAGAGCAGGACTCTACCCAGAGAAGCAGTGATGCCTGAGATGGAGGCAGAGACAATGACGTGGAGAGATGGAGCAGTTGGGGACTTTAGACACAGAGAGGGAGAGGGGCTATGTGCTGATGACCGGAGGCGGGGGCAGGCTTGTAGTGTATATCCTTTGGTTGGTTGATGATACATGGAGGGGATTGTAATCATGGCAATGAGATGATATATGATAGGATGAATGTAAAACTAATATTCTCCTATGTAAACTATCACATAATTCACAATAAAACATTAATTAAAAAAATAAAAAAGCAGATGGAAGGAGGGTGGCCTGAGCGTACAGAGACACTGGAGAAGACAGCTGCTTTACCCTCCTCGTCCTGGTTGTGGTCTCCACTGCCTCTGAAGTCACGGGGATCCTTTAGTCTGTACTGTTAACTGTAAGCCCACCACTCACGCTCCAGCCCTCTGGTCCACTGGTTCCCTTTCGCCATAATTGACAGCTAGATGGTCAGGTCAGCCAGGTAATTCCCCCTCCCACTCCAACCACCAGCTTGCTGGTCAGCGCTATGGAGGAGGTGAAGCTGGAGTTCCCTTTCCTCCCACAGTCCAAAGACGCAGAGGAGTGAACCTATCCTATAAGGCAAGAGAGACAGGAAATTTTACCTGCATTGTTTTTAGGACCATATTCTTCTGCTATAAAAAGCAATCTATCTGTACTACAGAAACTTGGAATAATCCACATAATACGCATAAGACAAAATATTGAAGAAAACTTTATTAAACCAAACTTGGACATTGCAGATAATGCAATTGAAACTATAATACTTTGTTTTTTTCCCCAACATCTAAATAGTATATTGATGGAAGCTTACAAACTAGGGGAAAAGTTCTCATCCATGGAAATTCAGGGATCTGCAGAAGCGCTGCAGTTGTTATTGCGTACATAATGGAAACATTTGGAATGAAGTATAGAGATGCGTTTGCTTATGTTCAAGAAAGAAGATTTTGTATTAATCCTAATGCTGGATTTGTTCATCAAGTTCAAGAATATGAAGCTATCTACTTAGCAAAATTAACAATGCAGATGATGTCACCATTGCAGATAGAAAGCTCTGTTTATTATGGTACTACAGGTAGTTTGAAGAGAACACATGAAGCATTTGGAAACATGCAAGTGGCGACTGCACAGAATGGCTGAATCCAGGGCAACATTACAGAGGATGTGAATTTCTCTTTGAACAGGAGGAAACACTAGAGACAATAATAATGCCAAATGACAAAACACAGGTAGTTTCTTTTCAATTGCATGTTGCTTTCAAATAGTTTCCCTATAACTTGTTGAGCAACATTTTTTTAAATTTTTGGACTTTTGCAATTGATGGCACTGATGGTTTTAGTCCTTTTTTCTTTTATTTCTTTTTTTTTTTTAACTTTACAATTTTATTATAAACCAAGAATTTTGGATTCAAAAAGAATTATTACTGTAATAATGCACTTTTCATACTTGAAATGTGTTTGTATGATATAATTATTACTTTAAACAAAATGCAAGTTAGAGGGAATTTGTTATAAAATTTGAGTAATTTATAAAATAATTTACTGAAGTTTGCTAAAAATTCATTTTGTGTTCTATATATTACATTTAAAAAATAATTTCAGTTTAATTTCAAGATGTAGCTTCTTACAGGACATTAAAATGTTGGCATCGGCCACGTTTCATTTTCAGTATCACTCAATACCTTAATTACCTTTTTATTTAAATAATTTTTCTTGATCATTTATTAATAGTCTTAAATCATGACATTAGATAACTTATCTTTAACATGACCCAGTTACTACTTCCTTTTCTATTACATTCCTAATCTGTTTATGCTATTATTTAAAACAAAAAACAAACAAACAAAAAAAACAACCACAAAGCATAATGAACAAAGGAAAATATTTTATAGTATCAGATGTTCCCCCCAAAAGGATAATGTTAAGTTTCACATGACTTTGTATTTTGGATTTCTTTTGGTAAAAGCCAAATGTTCTAAGTGTTCCTTTCAGAGTCATCTAAGCTGTTTTTCCCCCTTTTGTCCAGAATGGTTCTAAGTAGAACATAATAAACTGATGTAGCATGGTTCTGTTATTTTCCCCTTAAATGATGAAACCCAGAAAACTGCCTTACATCATTTATGGAAAAAAAAAAAAAGAAAAAGAAATCCTTATGACCTTCAAATTAATATGCAAAATAGTGAAGAGTTCTTAATTTTTTTTTTTTAAACATAAATCATTTGAAACTGAAAACATGAAGCTTGAAAAACTCAGTTAATTGTTCGGAATATATAACATTTTCTTCTGTTCATTTTATGTTGTCTTAATGATTCTGTGAGGTTCTTCAGATAAAACCTTTTTGAAGGTGCATTTATTGAGGTAAATGATTTCTGGGAGAATTTGGTGTCTTTT